AGAAATGGGGGCGGAGCTAGTGCCTGGGGGTGTGGGGGCAGGGCCCCGGAGGGGGGAGGGGCTAGGATCTGGGAGAAATTGGGGCGGGGCCCCAAGGGGGCGGGGCTAGTGCCTGGGGGTGTGGGGGCAGGGGGGGAATTGGCAGCCTGGGGGGGGTAGAGTCCCAGGGGAGGGGCAGAGCAGGAGGAGTTTGGGGGCTGTGCATGGGGGGGGGGGGGGGGAGAAGAGGTGTCACAGCAGCACCTGACTTCCTGCCCTTCCTTTCTCCTCCATACTTGGAGGCCATTTTCACTAGTGATATTTAAATCGCTCTAGGCTGGCGAGGTGACACTAGCTGAGAACTGGGGCAGTTCATACCCCTCAGAGCCGTTGCTTCAGGCGGGCTGCAGCCTACCACAGACCACCTTACATTAGTTTAGAGCTAGGTCCCTGGTAGAAGGTTTCCTATGCTGTCCCACGGACTCGAGACTGGGGCCTTCTCTACCCTGGGTTTTTAGCCACCACTATAGCTGCAGTAGTGCAAGTACCTAATCTAGGCACAGTGAATGACTATTTACAATACTAGACCTGTACTGTTACACGAGGGATTTGTACAACCCCCTCACTGTGGCTAGAAAGCCCGGGGTAGACAGGACTTTTTATTAAATGAATGCTGAGAGTTTAGAGCAGAAGACAACTGCCACTATGAAAAACCCCAGGCTGGTAGACATGCCGGGAACCTGCCCACGTTGACAGGTATGAAGATGTTGGTTTTCCCCTAAATTCCAGACCTGCAAACTCACCTTGGCATCTGGAAATCAAGCTGGGTTCCTTTCTACAGGGCCCATTGCTGTAGCATCTGTGCCCCATAAACACATTTAACACTGGTGATAAAGAGTGAGCCAGAGACAGACAGACAGGCAGGCAGGCAGGCAGGGCAAATGCTGATCCCAATTTCACAAGCATAACAAGGACAGATTGCAAGCTCTCTGGGGCAGCAACTGTGTCTTCTTGGTTGTGTAGACAAGACCTAGCACATGGGGAGTGAGCACTACTGGGACACACACAACAACTGAGGGCCCACAGTGACTATGCAACTAGCTCTTAGTTAACAAGTCCGTTGCCACAAGAGCCAGAGTGGACTCCAGCTCCCTTATTTGTAGCAGCGTTGGCTCTGCAGGGCTAAGAGACAGAGAAAAAAACCAAAACTTTATTTGAAACATTAAAGCGGGCAGATCTGAATCTATCAGCACAGGAAGACGATCTGGAGAGGGACCACTGTTACACAGTTCCTTTTCAGAGCACAGTCCCGCACTTTAAAGGACTTAAATCACTAGAGAGTCCACATGGATTCAATCATCGTAAAATGCTTCCAACGCTGTCAGATGACAAGTGCTCTTGGGGACAGACTTTATTGTTTATAATGCTCCTTGGAGTGCAAGAAGCTATACAAATCATGCAAGGGGACAGACAGTTATAAAACAACTTCGGGGGCAGGAGAACAACATTGATCTAACACGACACAGATGTCAGCTTTCCTTGGTACGGAACTGAGTCTCTAGGTGTTTTATCTTCAGTCTGGCTCCATTGCCCAATGCTGTTCCCAGTGGATTAAGCCAGCTCCAGCTGCCTGCTCTTCAGGGGTGAGAGGGTACGGTTAGTGGTTCGGTTGAAGGTGTCAACTTCTGGCACAAATTTCTCAGCAGGGACTGTGAGTTTTCTCCTGCTGTCCATGCACTTGTTGTCCAGCATCAGGGAGTTAGCTTTGTAGCTCATATCAGTTTGGATGCGGTACAGGTGTTTATAGAGAGCGTCTAGGGCATCCCTGGGAAAAGCAAAAGTTAGGGAGTCAGGGGTGCATTTGTGCCACTGAACTTGCCTCCTGGCATTGATGACAAATAATCAGCTTTCTGCTCTCTCACCACAACAAAAATCAGCACAGCTTTTGCCTTTGCCTTCAAGCTAACGCACACCAGAGCTACAGGGGAAGTTCCTGACTCATTGTACTTTATTGCTCAAGTCTCTTTAATAGCAAGCCCACATGCTGCTGCTGGAATGCAGCTCGCAAGAGACATGACGATGGGAATCTAACACAAACCCAAGGCAGCATTTCTATTTCCCCATTTGTTCATCCAATTTTCCCCCGCCCTTCAATAATTTTGTAAGTGTAGTCACACCATCCCACACCAGCTCTGCCAATCCTGACCTGCAGCTCCCCCTGCTGTCCAGTCCGGAGCTCCCCACACAGCCCTAATGAGGCACCCTGTTTCTGACCTGCAGTGCCCCCTGCTGTCCACTCCGGAGCTCCCCACACAGCTCGAATGAGGCACCCTGTTTCTGACCTGCAGCACCCCCTGCTAAGAACATCACAAAGCCTTCTGGTGCTTGTTAACATCATTATTCTTTCTTGGATGCGTAACTCCCAAACCACATAGGAACATACTGTGACTGTGCAAGCTTCTGCTTCAGGGCGGCGATGGTGCCTTCCAGCTGATGGACCTCATCAGTTAATCCATACTGCACCTACGAGCCAGGAACAGGCCGTAACAGTTAGTAGAGCACTTCTGGTTTTTGCTCGTTGCTATGGTTCCCCCAAGTTCCCCTTCCCTTAGCCCACCTCCCCACTTTGTTTCTATGCTTTAACTCACACAAGTATGGTGGATTCCTTTTTATTCATCTTTTAGTCTCCATTCAGTCCAGACCTAAACGTGTCTGATCATTTCGGAGCCACAGCAGCTCTATCTAGGGTTCCACCCTCACAACCTCAAATCCCTCATGGACAACGGGCATGCCAGGTTAGTATCCATCCCACCCCACCCCCAGCCTACAGGCTCATCTGTACCTGATCCCGGCACAGCTCCATGTTGGGGCGGTAAGTCCGGGTCTCCAGGCGAGTGTGCGCGAGTTTTAGATCCCACATTTTCTTCCTGAGATCTTCCTCGAGGCGTCGGATGTCCTCTTCCATCTCAGCAATTTCCTCCAAGGTCTGAGGATTAAACACACACAGCACAAGGGATTGTGACCATCGTGCACTTACAGCTGTCCAGTTTAGTAAGGGTGCACTCAAAGACTGGCTTTTGGGTACTCCGGAAATTCCCAGGAGATCTAGATAGGGAACAGGCTGGAGCTTTCTTGAGCACAGCTGTTCTGGGGTTTTACCAGGCTGGAAATGGTTTTTAAACAAGGACTAAAGGACTTCTGCTCAAATAGGGTTAAACACAGCTTGCTCAGCTTGTGTGGACCAGGCATCACTGCTTAAAAATCCAATTTCCACCCCAATCAGGCAAGGCATGCTGTGGTTGTTTCAGGGCTGCCGTGGGATGAGTTAATAGGGTGAGATATAAGGTCCCAAACTGGCTTCTCGGCCTGCAGATGCCAATGAGCATCAATTGTGTTGTGGACCGAGAGCCACTGAATTATTTCACTCACACCACTGAATGGGCTTCAGATAGGAACATTTTTCAGTCAGTGTTGAGCTGGGCTGGATTCGAAGCAGTTTGCGGATCGTCCCTCTGTGATCCCTGTAATTCCATTTCTCTGCCTTCACGGGATCAATCAGAAAAAGCGGAATTTTCCTTTGTATTTGAATAGCAAGGATAAAACCCAAGAGGAGGATAAACAGCTTAGACTTGTCTGCCGTGTCATACTAGCGGCTTATCAACAATATGGCCCTGTTGACCTGGGCACTGCAGAGAAGCTGTGGCTGGGAGGCCTTGAGCTCGCACAGCTGATGCCTTGCATCCACACACAACAGCTGCCTGAAGTGTTTTATAAGTGCTGGGTGTACCAGGCAATCACAACACCTGCTTGAGCTTGGGTCCCGCTGACCCCGTGTGGGCTACAATCATTTCTCCCCGGGATGAACAGGCGGCCATGTGTTGCAGCCGTACCAGATCAGCTAGTCATGCTGACACCCCCCCAATGTGCAGTCTCTCTCATTTGGAAGTTATCCAAAAGCTGCTCCTGGTACCAATGGTGGGCACTGTGGGATAGATGCCCTAGCAGTCCCACATTGCACTGGGAGAGCCGTGGCAGGTAGGTATGTGCCAGGGAGTGGATGTACCAAGAGGTTTCAGTCAGAAACGCCTCTTGCACTGGGGCGTGCTGAACCGCAGCAGGGAAGCATTTCATGCCATCAGTGTCGCTTGCAAGAGATACGCTCTGAAGATCGAATCTCACTCAAGGGCGCTTGACAGTGAAGGAAACAAGCCAGAAATTTACATTCTTCTCCTGCCATTTCAGCTCGTCGTAGGCTTTTTCAAATTCCCGGATCCTCTTCCGCAAGGCGAACTCCGTGGCCACCCGCTGAGCTTCCAGTTCGTTGTTTGTCTAGAGGGAAAACAGGTTAAAGGTCGTGCATGTGCCTCTAGGAGGCGTCTCCCCTGCACTGTTAAAGCAATTACCCTGCTCCCTCCATAACACACACCCCTCGCTTTCAGGGCCCTGCATGACCTCACCTTTCGCCTGCCCATCCCATGCTCCTCTACAGTTTCCCTGTGCCCTTCATCACCCCAACGCTCATTATTATTTGTCTGGTCAAAACACCCAGGAGCAAACTGCGCTAGGGGCTGTACAGACAAAGAACCAACAGACAGTCCCAGGTGCCCCCAAAGAACTTAAAGCGTAAATATAAAGCCAAGAGACAGATGCACAGACAGGCAGACGGGGGAGTATAAGGAAACAATAACTCAGTTATTGGGCCCTTCTCAATAGCTCCCTCTATGCCTGGAACCGCCTCCTGGTACATCCCCCAACGTTTCAATAGACTTCCCTCTTCTCTTCCAAAACCACTTCTGCCCATATCCGTGCTACACCGCTCTCCATGCCAGATCTGTTTTGAGTCCATGGTCTGCTCTTTGGGGCAAGGCAGACGCCTTGTGAGATCAGTAGAGAGCTGCGAAACACTCATGATGCCAAGGAATAATCTAGTGAGGCACGTTTGCCTTTTTAAAAATCACTATTCAGGAAACAGCAGTCATCTGACAGCCAAAGGAAACTTCCCTTCCCACGAACCAGCCGCACCACACAGCAGGTCCAAGCCTAGTTTGACTGAACTATTCAGATGGGTGCTGTAGGGTTAATTTTGATTTGGCTTTTTCAAGCCTTCCCTCCCCAAAAGGCACAGTGTAACCCCCGCCTATTTCTAAGCTGCGAAGCAGGCTGCATTCACCCAGCCATCCCCACTGGGGAACACATGACTTAACATCACCCGGCTTAACATCTATTAACTGCACCGATGGTTTCTGCATCAGTGATGGGCGATTTATTTACCTGAGCAATGGTGAGTGCTATGGCTTCCCGCAGCTCAGTGGAGGCTTTCATTTCCGCCTCTGCTCGGTCTTTGTTGTATTGGCTGTACTGGTCCCACTGCTCAGGCGTTGTTGATCTAGAATGCCAAGAGCGCCCAACAGGACAGGCTGTTTAAACTCATGCCTCGGGCAATAAGCTGAGTGACTGCAAGAGACAGCTTGGAAGAAACCTCTCCATGCCAAGGTGGAAACGCTTTCTACAATTGCAAAGAGACTCCGATTTCAAGGCCAGATGGGACCACTGTGATCATCCTCCGACCTGCTGCACAACACAGACCAGGGAATCACACCCGGGGATTCCTGCATGGAGCCCAACATCTTTTGAGATATCCAAACATTGATTGAAAGGCTCCAAAAGATGGAGAATTTACCCCACCCCTTGGGTATTCTGATCATTACCCTCACTGTGAAACTAGCATGGTCTAGTGGCTACAACAGGGAGGCAGGTCTCCTGGGTTCTCACCACAAGTCTGTCATTGACTTGCTGGGACACTTTGGGCAATTCTCTTCCCCCTCTGTGCCTCAGTTTCCCCTTCTATAAAATGGGGATGCTATTAAGTCACATCACAAGGATGTTGTGAGGCTCACGTGTGCCCACAAAGAGCTTTGAAACACTCAGGCGGAGGGAGGGTGCTTGGGAAGGACCAATGGTTATTGGTAACGACGATCACTGGGAGTATGGAGAAAGGGAGGGCTTGCTTCTCTGAGTACCGTATCGGATATCACTCGCTGCTAGCAGCAGAGCCAGGAAGACAGCCCTGAATCCAGCGCTTGGTGTTTTAAACTCTAGGCCAGGCTGTCTGCTAATTGAGCCAGTCATTTCCACGAGGCACCAGAAACTCTACTAAAGGCGGCAAGAGTCCCAAGTCTTTCCAGCATCAGCATGAAGGTTAAAACAGCCTGGGTTTGGCCACAAGGGGGCTGGTTGTTCCCTTACCCAATTGGGACCCGGGTTGGATTGACCTTGAACGAGATGTTGGGAGAGTTGACGTTGAGGGAGGAACAGACTCGGTCTATCTCCAGTGCTTCCATTTTCCCCCGGTGATCAAAGTTGAGCTGCTGGCGTGCTTCCTGCAAGAGGCTGCCAAAGAAGGGGTAGGATAAGCTGCATTTGTCACTGTCAGCAGGCTGAAAAAGGTGTTAGTGGATCGGCCAGTGAAAATCTCTCTCCTTGGCAGACCGAGCCTGGCCCAGACATGGGCTCAGGGAGGACACAGCCGTGTCCATCCGAGGTTAGAAAATCATAGAATGTCAGGGTTGGAAGGGACCTCAGGAGGTCATCTAGTCCAACCCCCTGCTCAAAGCAGGACCAATCCCCAGACAGATTTTTGCCCCAGATCCCTAAATGGCCCCCTCAAGGATTGAACTCACAACCCTGGGTTTAGCAGGCCAATGCTCAAACCACTGAGCGATCCCTCCCCCCATTTACAGAGACAGTGAGTCAGACCAGCCGTCCAACTGGCCTAAAATCGGTTCACTTTTTCAAAGCTTTCTTGGGAACCATGGGGGCTAGAGACTCGATTGGGCTTTTTTTTTAATAAATAAATGATGAGATTCTATAGCACCAGGCTGGTCCCGGGGGACCCCCCACAGGGACACCCCTTACTCAGTGGCGCAGCTGTAGCTGCTCCTTGAACCAACTGCCCGCGTGTGACTCAAGTGCAGTGACTTGTACGGCAGTGACCCAGAAGGGCGAAGGGCCCAGCAGGCTGGGCACTGCAGGGTACGGTTCTGAAAGAGGCTTGTGCTTTGGGGCATAAGATGCCTTCGAGGGGCCTGGATTTTCAGGAAGTGCTAAGCCCCCTCCTTTGAGAATCAGGTACCTGCCAGGTGTCTCAAGTTGGGACCCCAAAACCACTAGGCAAAAGCTCAGGCCTACCCTTTAGCTGCCACACTTGCTCCCTCCCCCTTCCCTTGTTTCATAAATGCCACGATTCCAGCAACACTTCCAACATTCGTTCTTAACGGGCCCACTCTGGCAAAGGACACTATCGGGCATCGCCGTGAGGCGCTGACACAACGTGTAATACTGCCTATGTCGCCGTGTGGCCGCAAAGCATGCTCTCTGCTCGGACGCTGGCCAGTCCGGAGGCAGGGGTGCGACCTGCTAGCCCAAAGCCCCATACAGAGAGACACGATTTGGAGTCACCGGCGTGGGGTGGGGAACCACCCCGAGCTCTGCTGCTCGACTCACCAGAGCTGCTCGAAGGCCTCGCTCACTTTCTGCTGCAGATCTCTCTTGGCTCCATCGATCACCTCCACCTCCTTGTGCAGCTCGTCCTCCACGGGGTCCTTCACCACATCAATGGCTCGGCGGCTCTCCCGAAGCGTCAAGCACTCAATCGCCACGTCCAAGGGCAAGTTCTTTGCCTGCAGCGCACGTTCCGCTGCCTCCTTCATCTGGTGGGGAGAAGGCAGCTCGGGTTAGGGATGCGGTCCCTCCTTTGGGGGAATGCTTGCGGCTGTTCCCGTCATGATGGCCTCCTCCTAGCCATCTCTGGAAGCAGCTTTTAAACCTTGTCGCGAGTGGCTCACTGCTGCAGTCTCCTGGGTGCAATGTGCTCCAGTTGCCTGCCTCTGTCAATCGGGCCCGCAGTTCAGAGGCCAAGCGCAATGCAGTTAGCAGCTACCGTCATACTCAACTATCTCACATGGTTTTTGCAGTGAAAGGATCAGAGAGGCTTCTCCCCATTGGAGACCACAAAGTCCAATGGGACCAGAAATGCTTTCCCATTTCCAGTTAATCACAGCCCTGGCATTATGCCTTTCATTAAGGACCTCCAAGCACTTTGCAAATAGTCTGGCCCCCTGCTGTGGGAGCTCGGTCCCCATTTTACAAATGGGAAAACACAGGCACAAGAGAATGCGGCTTGCCTGTGATCCCGCAGCGGGTCACTGGCAATGCACAGGAGAAACACACAAATTAGATTTAGCCTTTATTAAAACTGTGCTTAATACAGAGACACAAACTCCTGATTCTAACGGCAAAAAAGATGCAAACTTCTTAATTTAAAAGAGGTGTCAAATAAAGACAACTTTAATTATTCTTGCCTAAAATTGTTGAGCTCCTAAATAAATATTTTTAAAAACCCACTTATTATTCCCTACGTTTTTTTTATTTTAGTGTTTAATGTATTGGTATGTTTCCCCCCAAGATCTTTAGAAAAAGAGAGGACAGACTATATGAAACACACAGCACTATGCATTGCCTCAATTCAGATGGGAACTGAAGCTAGTGGGTGTGTTTTCCTGAAAGCAATTTAAGGCCCTGATCCTGCACTGAGCTCAGAGCACTGGTGCTAAGCCCCATAGAGGAGTCGGTCCATGCACAGCTCATTGCAGAATCAGGGCCTTAGTTGTTTAAAGTCACACGTATTAAGAGCATATGTTGAGTTTAAGCCATCTGTCTTCCCAACGTACTTTGGCTAAGGCATCAATTTCAGTGTCTATGTCTGTGAGGCATTTGTCCAAGGTCTCCTTCCATCTGTTCACACTGTCGATACGTTCAGCGAGTCGTGTTCTGTTGTCATGCTCATCCCATTGTGTCTGGAATTAGAAGAGACACCATTTCCATTTTAATTTTTGTAGTTGAAATTGTGAAGACTGAGGGTGCATTTCACCAGGCTGACAAGGGCCTGCTTATTCATTGCCCTGCATTTTTTATCAGGGCAAAGACCTACCATTTGTTTTGGTAGCACAGTATATGACACCTAATGCACTAATGTAAATAACTACACAAGATACAGACCACAAGAGCATCAAACCCAGAGTCCCCATTATAATATTTGCACACCTACAAATCAGTGCGTATGTATGATTTCACCTTCTGTGAGCTGTCGTTTATTAATTGTGCCAAGGACTTCGCTGGAAGCAAGACTATGCTGGTCTTCCAGAAGCAACAGTTCCAATGGGGGATACAAGATAGATTTATTCACGGAGTTCCTAGGGTGTTGCAAAAACTCACACAAAGACCTCGAAGCATTAGATGAAGGTAAATAGCATGTCAGGGGACATTGCAAATCTATTTTAGAATAGAAGATCAACTGCCATTTGCATTTATAACCCACATGTTTATACTGCAGCCTTTGTTTTGTTTTTTAATACAAGTCCAAAGATAGAGAGAGGGGCAGTGGGGAGGACACAAGCATACAGAAAGCAGCGGGCAACTTAGAAGAGCCCAGGGTGTGGCCGTTATTAGACATGCACGATAGCTGCTTCTGAAGCTGCGCAGAGCAAGGGTTTCCGCTGAGGGAAAGCAATCTTGCAGGTTCCACATATTCACACAGCTCAGCTAATCGGAGCTCAGAGGGAAAAGGTTACAAATAGGGGAGCTGGAGATAGATCTGTGGACTCAGCAGTTGATCTGTGCAGGACCAATCAGAATTGTAAAACTGGAAGGGACCTCGCGAGGTCATCTACTCCAGTCCCCTGCACTCATGGCAGGACTAAGTATTATCTAGACCATCCCTGACAGGTGTTTGTCCAACCTGCTCTTAAAAATCTCCAATGACAGAGATTCCACAGCCTCCCTGGGCAATTTATTCCAGCGCTTAACCACCCTGAAAGGAAGTTTTTCCTAATGTCCAACATAAACGAAGAGATGCATCTGTTGTGAAGGCTGCGTCCCAGTAACTGTACCACTTGGGATACAGGCTGCAGATTCCCAATCCAGCTGGAAACTGAGGAGACAGCTGACTATTGGCTTGGGAACTGTAATTGCTGCCGAGTCCACAGAGCTGTCTCCAGCTCCCCTATAAGAGGGCACATGGTCCGTCAAACCTCACACTGAAATACATGGAACAGCAGCAAAATGGAGAAATCTTTACAAAGAACCCCTACAGCTTTACTGGTGAATAGCATTTGTCTAAAAGTTGTTCCACACTATTTACAATGAGGGGTTTTGTGTATTAAATGTTTGTTTACTAATAAATTCTCTCTCTTTGCAGCTGACTGGGAACTGCTAACACCTGCATTCAGGGATATGTATATTATAGCTCTGAGGTTTAATTCAGTGTTAATACCTTTGGGGGGGGAGGGGGAGAACTGTGACTTGTGCTTAAGCAGAGAGAGGAGCTGAAGAGCAGGAAAAGGAGAGTGTAGCAGTTATATTATCTCAGCACTCCTCTTGCCTTTTACACATTTACTGCTCTCTATAAATAACCCCCAGTGTCAGATACTTTGCCGTATCCAACTGTGCCTTAAATTCAGGCTGTGAGCTTCCACCTTGTAACCGGTGTGCCAATCGTCGTCAATTAGTTTGGTGGTTTTCATTATGTAGGTTCCTGCCCAACTGGGAAGGGGACTAAGCCATAACATGTCTCTCTGGCCTAGCAGTATGATTCTTACATATGGTGCCAGTGGGTCTCCAGTCCAAATGCCATGGAAGGCCCAGCAGCAATGCAAAGATTCAGAGTAAGGCCTGAAGGTCCCATTGTGATCATTTAGTCCCATCTCCTGCCCCACGCAAGCCAAAGAACTTCCCCCAACAACTTCTGCATCAAGCCTATAACTTCTGTTTGATCCATAGTAGATCTTTTAGAAAGAGACCCGGACTTACAGAGTCAGATTCCAAGGCCAGAAGGGACCGCTGTGATCATCCAGTTTGACATCCTGTACAAAACAGGCCAGAGAACTCCCCAAAATAATTCCCTTTGAACTATAAACCATATCTTTTTAAAAAATCCACTCTGGATTTAAAAATTGCTAGTGATGGAGATTAACCACAGCCCTTGGTTAATCCTTCTAGTGGTTAATTACTCACTGTTCAAAATGTGAGCCTTATTTCCAGTCTGGATTTGTCTAGCTTCAACTTCCAGCTGTTGGATTCTTCCAGTCTGAAGAGTCCATTGGCAAATATTTGTTGCCCAGGAACAAATTTAAAGACTGAAAGTGATGGAGAATCCACCAGCTCCCTAGGTAAGTTGTTCCAGTTGTTAGTGAAGGAGCTCAGACTAAATGATTGGGATGGTCCCTTTTGGCTTTAAAAATGGAATAAATGAGCTACGAGCTATGAGTTGATAAATCACAGCAAATAACTTCGGCCATGTCTACACTAGCGAGCTTACAGCAGCACAGCTGCCCTTGCGTAGCCACTCTGTGTCGACCAGAGATCGCTCTTCTGTCGACATCATAAAACCACCTCCATGAGCAGCGGTAGCAGCTCTCCTGCCAACATAGCGCTGTGCACACAACCACTTCTACTGGCAAAACTTAGGCCGCTCAGGGGTGTGTTTTTTTCACATTCCTGAGCGACATATTTTGCCAACATAAGTGCTAGTGTAGATGTGGCCTTAGTCAACAAAGCGAGACTGGGATTTTCTCAGATTCGTTCATTCAAAGTTTGACCATTTCACTCAAGTTTTGTTCACCCTGCGCCTTGCTATTCAGATTCCAAAAGCTCTGTTGCTCAGCTGTGATTGGTCACAGGTCAGATGGCATGGTTTCTATCCCATGACTGGATGATCTGATCAGATTTCTGGTATGAATGTGCACAGAAGTGAATTTTAAAACTTTCCAGGATATTCAATCCAGTTTTGCTGGTAAAACTCGATCTGACAATACGTTTGGAGTCGGTGAACACAGAATGGGTGAGAGCATGACCAAATCAAATTAGTTTATAAGTTACAACTAATTTTATTGGAAGATTGTTTTCACCCCCAGCATTCAGCTGGCTTTGCTAATTTCACACTAAATAAGCACTTCCAAACAACCCTCCATCACTAGTGGCATAGGTCCACCTCAGTGATCTGAAGGTTGAAAAGGGACAAACTTCTCTATTCAGCCAGCCAGATCTTTAACACCCCCATCCTACCCCCCCCAAATCTGTTTTTACAAACAAAAAGGGGAGTAAAACAGCTGGGAAGCCCACCTGGTTGTTAGTTTCATTCCGGAGAGTCCTGGCTTCCTGCCGGATCTGATGGGAAGCAGACCGCTGACGCTCAGCGTTCGTAGAGATGAGGTTAGCATTGGTGTGCCAGTCTGGGACTGAAAATCTCTGTCCTGGCTTCACACTCAGCGTGGCCATATCACCAAGGTCAGCGGCTCACTACAGCAGAGAGATGGAGAAACAAGCAATAGCCTGACTGCCCTGGCCGCTGCAGCCATCTGAATGCCCCTACGGGTTGGAAAGCACAGAAAAGAACAGTACAAGCTTCCCGACCACAACCACCCCCTCTTGACAATGTGCCTTCTTGGCAGGGCCACCTTACGCCTCCCCCGCCCTGAGGCACACCTCCCCCTCCCCGTGTCAGGTCCCCCCCCCCGCCCCCGGGGAGCCGTGCGGCAGCTTCCCACCCCAGCTCACCTCTGCTCCGCCTCCTCCCCGAGCATGCCGCCCCCAGTCAAATTCTCCTCCCCTCCCCGGCTTGCGGCGCCAAACAGCTGATTGGCACTGCAAGCCTGGGAGGCGGGAGAAGTGGAGCGGCGACCGCGTGCTCAGGGAGGGGGCATAGGAACGCTGTAAAAAAGATTGGGGGCACCGCTTTTTGGTGCCCCCAAATCTTGGTGCCTTAGGCAACCGTCTAGTTTGCCTTAATGGTAGCACTGGCCCTGCTTCTTGGGACTACCTGGTGATGAGCCAGTCCGTCCTTGGCCTCCTTGGCTCATCAGGCAACCTCCCCCAACTGCTGATCTTGGGACACAGTCAGCCCTTCCCTGTGATATTTAACATGCCCCGGCAGGTGACCGGATGCGTCTCTGTGATTCTCCCTCAGAAGGTGATTTAATAAAGACTGTTCCACTCACGCTTCACCCAGCCGAGGGCTGCATGGCCAGGAGAGGCCGCACCTACTTTGCAGAAGCAGAGCAGGATTGTAGTCACCCTCTTCAATACAGAGGTGCAGCCCTGCAAAAGCGACAGCTCTTCGCACATGATGTTCAGCCTGGATGGGCGCAGTGCCTGCCTGCAGAGACTCTAGGTCCCAAAGAACAGAGGGCACCCACTCCAGATGTAAATGCAGCATTACATGCTGGGGACTAATCTCTGGAGGCAGTAACTCATCAAAGATTATGGGGACATGTGCCACTGAGGGCCGACTTTGGCTCTGCACTCTGCCATTGACCACAAGCAGCTTGTTCATTTAATGCCAGTGGGGCTTCTTGCGCAAGTATGAAAAGCAAGATTTGTAATAAAACCACATTGGGTGCGGGGGATTTGTGCTATTCCTTGAGCTGGGGAGGGAAGAGGCCACACAAAGGCCTCGAAGCTGCAGGACACGTTGGAGGGGATCAAATTACATGGAGCAAATTATAGTGAAAACCCCAGAGAAACACAGGAGAAGGCTTCACACTTTCTGGGCTGAGAGTGCTACAGCCAAGGAACACAGAAGGGAGGTATCACACACACACTCCCTCCTCCTCCCCCCGCCCCCCCAAAAGTACAAGGCCTGAGAAATCTCAGACACACTGCACAAAGCCCAGCTCCTGGATCCCCCACAGCAAGGCCATGGCACCTGGCTCCTCACACTGAATCAAGTCAGAGCAACTTACCCCCTTCCTTCCTTGACTCTGGAGTTTCTGCCTCCCACTGCTGAGTGGTTGGTTGTGTGCGGGTTTTTTTTTTTTTTTTTTTGTATTAGTGGTTGCTAAGCATGCTCTGGAGGGTTGCCAGGCAACCATCCTCACCAGGAGCCAATCGGAGGCTTTTTCTTTTTGTTTACAGGGAATGAGAGCCATAGCAACAAGGGGATGTAAGGAGAGAAAGGCCTCAGTGCTTCAGGCCCAACTGTTTCGGATCTGGGATTGCAGGAGAAAGCGGGAGGTGGGATCTGGTGCAACTCAGAGGTTCTGGGTGGGGTTGGTGAGAGGACAGCAAGGAGTCTGGGGAAGGGGGCATCATCTGAGAAAGTAGAGAACTCAGAGGCTCAGGTGCACCAGGGAAAGCTCACTTACAGAAAAGCCTTAGGAAATACCACAGTGACTATTGGTTGTGGGGAAGAATGGAGATTACTCACTTTGGACAGCAGTTCCGGGGTCCTGATTTTAAATCCTACTGAGACATGTAATATAAAGATCCCATATTTTCAACATTTACAAGGCAAATGTTTTGTAAAATCTGGATACAAGAAACCTCTATCTAGACCTTTAAAACCACATTTGAGGAGTTGACCCAGGAGCAACCTGGAACAAAAAGGTTTAATTTCTAAGATATATACAATTTTGGTTGAAAAAAATTGTAAGAAAACAACCCAGACGAAAAGCTGGGAGAGGGATTTGGACAAAAACTGATCTGGATGAGTGGATCTCTGTATCGGAAAAGAGATATACATCTTCAAGTTGTGTAGCTCAAAACAAAACTATATATTACTGTATAGATGGCATTTGACTCCAGTTAATATTCATCATATTTTTGTTATACTAAAGAGGTGCTATGCTGGAGGGATTGCAAGGAAAGGAGAACGTACTTACACACCTGGCAGTTGTGTCCAGGAATTGGATGCTTTGGAGAACATTCATCTGATGACAAAATGCCAGCTTCCTAGCAATCTCCCGAGCTGTTTACTTAATGTTGCAGTGAAGGATTTACATTTTAAAACAGAATGACGTTAATTTCTTTATTTTTTTTATTGTATTGCACATTATTGGAAAAATGTGACTTCCTCAATGGAACTGTGGTATAGTAAAATATGGACAGTCCTTCGAATGGAAAAACTTTCACACCAAGAATGTACACAAGAGAAGCGCCAAATGAGGCTAGGTATTTAGAAATGTGGTCACCCTTTTTAGCATACTCAAAAGGATGATGGCTTCCCCGCCAACAAGCCTGAATCTTTAGCCTAGTTATTTGAATATTCACCTGATCCTGAATAAGTAATAAGTAATGTACGATATGTAGTAATGTAGTATGTTAACATTTTATCATAACTTTGCCTTAAAAAAAAAAAGTTTAAGAACCCCATGGTCTTACTTTTGAAAACTGTCCCTACACCGTACTTGGGTGTGGGTGTAGCCGACACTGCGGCTGCCTATACTGAAGTCTTAGGTGTAGACTAGGCATTCATCTCTTCTCTGTGTAGACATAAGTCTGTTGGGTTCTGAACATCAGTGAATGGTGGAGCAACCAGGTTCTTTGGGGCAGGGACCATCTTTTTGTTCTGTATTTGTACAGCGCCTGGCACAATAGGGTCCTGTCCCATTACTGGGGCTCCTAGGTGCTACAGCATTACAAATGAATAACTCCTCTCCTCAAGCCCTCCTGCAGCAGGAATGTTTTCATGGTGTCGCTGGAGAGCTCTGAGGAAGGCCATTGCTGCATGATCTGCCTAAGTCACTGCACATCAGAAAGCTGTGGTGTAACTGAGGTAAGGTGAAAAGGAAAAGCAGCACCTAGTTCATCTTTCTGTGTTCAGCCTATCCATTGTGCTGACAGCACCTTCCCCTCCCCTTGTTCCGACCACCTTCCTTCCCTGAATCTCTGCACCCAGGGTCCCCTCTTTTTCCATACAAAGTTCAGATTGCCCCTACCCTTCAAAGCTCTTCCCAGCTCTGCTCCTGCCCACCTCTTCCCTCACAAATGTCTAAACCTCCCTCCCACTCTAGATGCTCCCATTTCTCTTCTCACTTCACTCCCTTTGCCTGCCCCCACTTCAGACACTGTGCCACCTTCCATACCACCACACTCTGTCACCTTCCCGAACATTTCTAGAAAGCCCTGGTCCTAAAAGGTACCAGCGATAACACTAACAGCCACCTCATGCCTTTAGGTTCTACACGGAAGGGATTTTGTATAGCGTGTGGGGATAGGCTAGAAATCAGGATCAGGGATCCATTGTGCTATTTTCTGTACAAAAGACATGGTCCTTGTTGCAAGGTGCTCCTGGCAAGAAAAGAAGTGTTAATCTGATTTGAAAAAAGTGACAGCACTGAAAAACTGAAGACGTATTTCAATTCCTTATCGATTACAATTTTGAGTATTCTTAAAACTGATAACAGGGGTCATTTATTCAATACACCTGTCATAACTATGAAGGGAAGGGTAACAGCTCTCTGTGTACAGAGACTCCAAATCCTTTTACCTGTAAAGGGTTAAGAGGCTCGGGTAACCTGGCTGACGCCTGACCCGAAGGACCAATAAGGAGACAAGATACTTTCAAATCTTGGGGGGGGAAAGGTTTGTGTGTGTGCTCTTTGTTTTAGGGGTGGTTCGCTCTTGGGACTGAGAGGGACCAGACATCAATCCAGGTTCTCCCCATCTTTCTAAACAAGTCTCTCCTATTTCAAACTAGTAAGTAAAAGACAGGCAAGGCGTCTTAGATTTACTTTGTTTTCTCAACTTGTAAATGTACCTTTTTACCAGAGTGTGTATCTTTGTTTGCTGTACTTTGAACCTAAGACAGAGGGGGGTCCTCTGAGCTCTTTAAGTTTGATTACCCTGTAAAGTATTCTCCATACTGATTTTACAGAGATGATTTTTACCTTTTTCTTTAATTAAAAGCCTTCTTTTTTAAGAACCAGATTGATTTCTCCTTGTTTTAAGATCCAAGGGGGTTTGGATCTGTATTCACCAGGAGTTGGTGAAAGGAGGGTGGAAGGAAGGAGGGGGGATGGTTAACTTCTCCTTGTTTTAAGATCCAAGGGGGTTTGGATCTGTGTTCACCAGGGAATTGGTGAAAGGTTTCTCAAGGCTTCCCAGGGAGGGAATTCTTGTGATGGTGGCAGCGGACCAAAGCTAAGCTGGTAGATAAGCTTAGAAGTTTTCATGCAGGCCTCTACATTTGAACCCTAAAGTTCAAAGTGGGGATCCAGCCTTGACAACACCTCTACCCCGATATAATGCGACCCGATATAACACAGGTTCGCATATAGCGCTGTAACCCCGGGGCTCCGGCAGCGGGGCTCGGGCGGCACTTTAAAGGGCCCGGGGCTCCGGCTGCTGCGGGGAGAGCCCCGGGCCCTTTAAATCACAGTCGGAGCCCTGCCGCTGCTACCCCGGCGCTCTGGCAGCAGGGCTTGGGTGGTGATTTAAAGGACCCGGGGCTCCCCGCGGCTAGAACCCCAGGCTCTTTAAATCACTGCTGGAGCCCTGCC